CAGGGGTTTCCACAGGATGTGGGGGGGGGGAGGCAGGGCGGAGCAGACAGGAGACCCCACCCCCGGACACAGGCAGTGGCCCCTCTGCACCTAGAAGTCCTCCTTGACTCCTCCCTGGAGCCCTTGCATTTTCCTTTGGGCCATCCTGGACCTGCCTGGCCTGACCAAAGCTCTCGGGACCCCTGGGATTCTGGCGGGTGGAGCTGCAGGGCTGACAGGTTCCTCTATGGATAAGAGAGTGCAAGGTGGGTGTGGTGGTGCACGCCTGTAATCCCAGCACTCAGGAGGCTGAGGCAGGAGGATCGTTGTGAGTTCGAGACCAGCCTGGGCTACATAGTGAGTTCTAGGTCTGTCTCAACTACATAGTGAGACCCTGTCTCAAAAAAAAGAGTGCAAGGCAAGGGGAGTTGGGGCCAGGGTGTGGTGGAGGAGGGAGGCCGTTTTGACTTCAAGGGGCCAGGAGGCAGGTGCCAGCCTTAGGAAGCTTGCATTCCTCGTGTCCCTGCATGCTGGATGGGTGCAGTGGAGCTGTCCTCAGGAGCAGGGTCCCCTGCAGACGGGACCCCTGGGTCCTGGGCTGTCAGGTGTGACAGGTGAGGGAGGCCCAGGCCTCCACCAGCTGTAGTTGCTGTGGTCTTCCAGCTTTTTCACCAACCTGGTGCCAGCTGTCCTGCCCTGGGAATCAGGCAGGCAGTGCTTCCTGGAACCAGTGAAGCCTATGCCTGTTTCCTCTCTCCCTGCTCAGGGACCTGCAAGAAATAGGTGCAGCTTGCAGAGTTCTGAGCAGAGCGACCCTCCTCTGCCTGGCCTCGCCTTGTGAAGCAGCACAGTGCCTGTCCCAGACGCACCCTCAATTCCCAGCTGGTGTTACAGCAGCCCCTCTGCCCTTGCTGCGCTGCAAGGACAAAGGCCCACGTGTGCTGGGGCCTGAGCTTGAGGCCTGCATGTGGGGCTCCTTCCCTGGACGGGCAGTGCCTGCTGTGAGGCATCCCCACAGAAGGAGGTGTTTCCTTGGCCCAAACGCCTTGCCCGTTCAGGGGGTACCTGAATGGGGGGACAGTGAGCCCAGCAGAACCTGCCAGGCTGGGGTCACACAGCTGCAGAGGGACCCTCTGGCCAGTGGGGCAGGCTGTGGCGGGTATGTCCCTGAGACAGGAATCGCTGCTGGCTTGGCCCAGTGGAGGAGGCCTGACCTGCCCAGCACCGCTGTGGTCAGGGAGCTGTCTTGCTTGCTCCCGCACTTCGTCCTCTCCTGTCCCTGTCTGGAGGGCTTCCAGTTACCAGGGCTGGTGGTCACAGTGGCCAGGTGCTGGGGAGCCTGGCAGTGGGCCAGGTGGGAGCTGAGGTCCAGGTCAGCTCTGCACACCACCCGCTGGTGGCTGTGTGGTGGTGATGGTGAAGGCACGGGGCCAGGAGTCCAGATGCATTCATTTATTTAAGCTTCTATTTCATTTGGAAATGTTGAGAAAAGGACTCCGAGAACAATGAAGCCCTTGTCTACTCGTGTCCCCAGTCAGTGGCAATAAAGTTTCATCACTACTCCACTCCTTTCACGATGCACTAGCACTGTGAAGTCCCCCTTGTTCCTGACCCCGCCCCGGCCCACCTGGGGGCCAAGACCTGGTCACTTCCATCAGGAAGGGTCTGCATCAGAGGAGCCCCGCACTGAGTAGCCCTGGCCGGCACCTGCTGGCCCCTTCTGTCCACTTGGCCCCCGGCCTGGGCTCGAGACTTTTTGGCAGAGTAACAGCTGTCCTCTAGCTCTGGCAGGGCAGGTGCGGGTGGCAGAGCAGGGGCCCTGCCTTCGGCCACGAGGGCCTCCTTTGTCCCCTCTCCCGGACACCCAGTGCCCGCCTCTGAGAAATGGGCTGAGAGGGGCGGGCGGCTCTCTCCTAGGGAGCTGTGGCAGCTGCAGTCTCCCTGCATGGATGAGGCGGAAACCCGAGACCACAGCCGAGACAGACTGGCTGTGGGGCTGCGCCCCGCCTACCCGGGCGACTGATGCAACTCGCTGGCTTCTTGCTGCAGCCGGAAAGTCGAGCTGGGGGAAGGGCCCGAAGTGATGCCCGGGGGCCCACACTGGTCCCTTAGGAAGTGTGGCTCTGGGAAGAGCAGGCCCCGTTCGGACACCCGGCTCAGAACCGGGTGGTGGGGCCGGTCTGGAAAGGGACTTCCGCAGCTCACCCGCCTCCTCACCGTGGGCGTGTGCGTCTGTGTCTGTCTCATTTTAGCCGGTGCAGTTAGAGTAACCACCGCCCAGTACCTCCGAGCAGAGCAGGCTTCCCAGTGCATAGCGGCTCGGCGGCATTGCGTCAGCCAGAGCTGAGACGCTGCTCGGCCGCATCCTGTCCAGGGAGCATTTCCCACCGGCGGCAGGTGGGATCCGGGATCCTGCCCAGCGCCAGGAAGCCTTCCTGTTTTCCTGCCCCATCTAATTAGTGTAGATTTCTTTCTTTTGAGATCTGGTCCCCGAAACTTTCTATAATTAGCCCAGCAGGAGGAAAGCCACCTGGTGTGCTGGCCCAGCCCGGAGTTACCAAGGGGCTCAGGGGCGGAGGATGGGGCGGAGATCTCAGGACCCTGCAGCCCTGATTGGGAGCGCTGGTTAATGTGTGACGGTGGTGGTGGCTGGCCTCAGGGTCCCGCCTGTGACATCTGGGCTCTGTCCTGTGGTCTGACTGCACGCGGCCGGCACCGTGTGGTTCACATCCCATTTGAGCCTTAGGAGCTGAGGCGGTACGAGTGGGAAGGGGTGGTCTGTGAGTATATGAAGACTTTTTAGGTGTACTTTTGTTGTGCCCCCGCTAGAGAACAGCAGTGTCTGCTGGGGTGCTGGTCACCATCTCAGCTGCCTGCCTGTAGGCATGATCCCGTCTCCCTCCTCCAGACGCCGTGGCCCCTCCAGCCTGGTTTCAGACTGGCGGTGCAGTTGCTCTGGTGTGGGAAATACCCCATGCGAATTCTCAGTTCCCAGTATTTACTGTTCAGAGCGCAGTAGCCCTGGAGCCTGTCTGCCTCCATCACCCCAGCTGCCTGGGCTGAGTCTACAAGGGGGCTCCTGGGGGAGGGCCTAGTCCGCAAGTCTTTTCCCTTCCCCCAGTTGCAGGCCAGCTCCACATGGCCCTGTTGTCCTCTGGGCTCAGCACAGACCCCCTAGCAGGATGCCTGTGTCTCACCTATCACCACCCATATCACGGGAGAGACGTCCTCAGGGGTTTCCAGGGTGCGGGGGTGGGGCACAGTTTCGCTCCCAGTGGCCAGCTCCAAGTTTCCCAGAGTCCAAAGTGGGCTTCTGGGCCTGAGTGGCAGGTCCCTCAGGAGGCAGAGACCCCCTCCTTTAGAGGGACTCCTTGAGGGCAGCCCAGGGGCACTGGGGATCCTGGCCTTTTTGAGTTTGGTATTTCCAACCTTTGACCTTGTCTGTAGAAACCAGCCAGTTTATCAAGGAGCCTGGGACAGGGACACTGGGGCAGAGACAGCCCCACCCCACATGTCCTGACCTCACCTGCCCCTAGCCCATTGTGACCACCTGACTGGTGAGGACTCACACTGCCTCTGTCCCTGCAGTACTGCTCACAGCTGTGAACTGCTACAGCGTGAAGGCTGCCACCCGCGTGCAGGATGCCTTCGCAGCTGCCAAGCTCCTGGCCCTGGGCCTGATCATCCTACTCGGCTTCATCCAGATCGCAAAGGGTGAGTGTGGCACCAGCCTGGCATGCGGTACCTGCTGTGTCCACCATGTGGGGTGTGGGTTCCAGTCCTCAAGCCAGGTGCCCACGTCAGGACTAGGCAGGAGCTCTCTGTTCTCTCCTGTTTGCAGCTGCATTCCTGAGTCCTACGCAGGGGGACAAATCTACCCTCAGCCAGGGGAGGGTGCCATGCGTCCGGTGCTGAACCCTGTCCCTGAGCGCATCTCTGCCCCCAGCTTGGAGCATTCTCGGGGTTCCCAGCAATGTGGTGGCTCCGGGTGATTCATCCAGCTGCAGCCCCAGGAGCCCCTCAGGAGTGAGTCCCCCCAGGAGGGCAGTGTCTGTCCTTGGGCACGGGCACCAGGCCTGGCGGCATGCCACCTATGTAGGTGGAGAAACTCCGTTCTCATTTCTGTACATGGGAGCGAAGGATTGGGCGAGGCTGAAAACCTGTAAACCCTGCCACCAAGACGCACACAGGGCTGGCACACAGAGCTCACTGCTGTGGACCGGCAAACCTCGCCCTGGGGCTGCTGGGACAGCTGGTGGGAGAGAGAGCCCATGTGCCCTGTGCAGCACCCACATTCAGCGTGGAATAGTGTGGGTGGGCATCGCTGGTGAAAGTATGGACATTCTCATACATACTGTGCACACACACACGTGTGCGTGTGCACACACACACTGCATGTGAAGCTCCTCCTGCATCTGTCTGTGCTGCCTCCTTCACTGCTGTGAGGTATTCCAGTGCAAGGATGTGCACAGTTACAAGGCAGCGCCCCCCCAGGTGGCCGTGGCCTGGAAATGCACCCCTGTGCGCTGAGTGCTCTCAAGGGGAAGCAGTCAGGGACGTGGTGGGTTGTGGGCTCCACACTCAGGCAGTTACCAGGATGCACCAAGGAGGCGGGCAGGGGATACTGACACAGCCCGGTGTGTTCCTGGGGTAGCACATCCCTATGGTCACATGGCACAGATGAGAAGTGGGAGCTGCACCACCAGGGGAGGGAGAGCCGGGCTCAGGTGCGTCCCATGCCCCTTCCTGCCCTCCTGCTGGTCAAGCCCAAGACCCCAGAGGCCCCTGGAGGCCCAGGCTCTGTGCAGCCCACCCCCTGAACGCTCGCCCCGAGCAATGGCCATGTGTGGCTTCTCACCCACAGCTGCCTCAGCCGTGCCTTCCTTCCTCTGGGGGGGCGATCGCAGGTGCAGCCACAGACACAGACGGCCCTGAGCCTGGGGCGGGGTGTGCAGGCCCAGGCCTCACGGGCACCCAGCGGCATTTGCTGCCATGGTCCCCGTTGTGGTCAGAGGACCCTTTTGCCCCCACACTCCCCGCCCCACAATTCCCAGGTGAGCCCGGAGCCTCCTGGATCTGGCACTCAGCCCCTTTCTGAGGTGTCTGAGACTCAGCGTGAATCCGCCCTATGTGCAGAAGAGGTGGCAGAAGAAGAGCAGGAAGGGAGCACGGTGGTCAGGGCTGCATGGGCAGGGGGAAGAGCCTGTCCACACCCACTGCCCTCGAGCAGCCAGGCAGGCGCCGCTCTGCACGGCGTGGGGGGCTGGCCTGGCGGCTGTGAGGAATTTAGAAGGAGACCCGATTTCTATAAAAGCAAACTCCAGTTGGGATAGCAAAGAGCTTTTGTTTGGCCCAAGCACAGTGTGTGTTTGATCCCAGTTGCCGTGGAAAACACCCCCATTCCCCAGTGGTTCCTTTCTGAGCTCGGGGACATAGTGCAGTCTGCAGAGTCCTGTCCCACTTTGTTCCCAAGGGATTGGCGCTGTTCCAGACAGGCGCCTTCCCTGAGGTGGGGACCTCAACTGTTCTCCGAGACCAGTTGCCCCACTTTATTTCCCATTGGGCGCTGGCACCTCCGTGCCGATGGAGGTGGCTGTGCCTAGGGTCCCTCAAGGCTGAGGCCCAGCCCAAGTGCACGGAGGGGCCACTGTCCCTGCATCCATCATGGGCCTGATCTTTGCCCTGGGTGCCCCTCCAGCCAGCTGCCACCTCGCCTCCCGGTGCTGCCTGTTTCTGGCTGACTGCTGAGGAACCTGCGTGGTTGCCAGCCTTCCCCAGAACTTCCGCAGCCCCCACACCCAACCAAGGACATGGCCCTGCTGTCTGGGGCTCAGGTTACCCTGCAGGGACATTAGACACCCATGTCACAGAGGGGGCTGGGGGCCCTTCAGCAGGGTCTTCTCCACAGTGCAGCACGCAGTGCTCAGATGTAGAAACAGCTTCAGCCACCTTGTGGGGCTATGGGTGCCTCCTGGGGCCTGTGGGCCAGTGTCATGTGAGGTCCAGGGGGGACCATGCCCACACTGGCCATCACAGGACTCAGGAGTGATGGTTGCTTGGACAGGAGACACAGAGGGAGGTCACGAGGGTCAGGGAGACAGGCAGGCAGGCAGGCGTGGGGCTGCAGCTCGAGGTCAGGCTATTCCCAGACACAAGTGGTAGCAGGGCTTTTGTTTCCGAGGCCAAGGTGGGAGTGGGGTGCTGACAGCCTGATCCAGGTCCCCCACCCTGGACAACACACAATGGGACCCTTTGTGGTTCTACTGAGTTGCAGTGTCGGTGGAGAACAAACTAATCTCTCCTCTGGCAGTCAGATGGGATACCACGCGGACCAGTAGGTTGCACTGAAACTCTCCCTCTCCCACACTGCGTCCTGCCTCGATGCCCCTCTGGGGCAACAGTAGGCCTCTTCCTGAGATGTCTGTGCCCTTCCCTGCCAGGGCTTCCTGGAGGAGAAATGCTGGAGCTCAGACCCCTCCTGACCCCTGCCCCAACATGTGATTGTGGTCTGCAGCCCTTGAACAGGCTCCTTGGGGACAAGTGCAGCTGTGCCAGGCTCTAGGCGGTGGCCAGCCTGGCCTGGGCCTACCGAGCAACAGCTCGGGTCTGTCGGACCCTTCACTGTTTGTGAAATGTTTGCTTCTAGGCACTTACACTGGCCAGGTACCCTAGGCTGGGAGAAGTGTGGGTCCTCCCCTGTCCTGCCGCCTGTGCACAGAGGAGATAGCCGGGGCCAGGACAAGACATGGGGTCAGAGCTCACCCTGGCGCATCTGGTAGACTTCTGAGCTCCTGCTGGGTGTCGGAGGTGCTAGGGGAGGTTGTAGCAATGTTCTGGCTGCCCCAGAAGGGCCTGAGAAGCACCTGGGAGCCCAGGCTCTTGCTGTGCTCCTCACCCTGGCTCCTGCCAGCTCCAGAAGGACGGAGACAACAGGACTGTCTGCCTCGGGAGTCCTGCTGGTGAGAACCAAAGCAAGAGGAGCAGATTTGCACTCGGCCCAGGAAGCACAAAGGGGCCCTCGGGCCGGATGTGCCTGTCTGCTCAGCCGTGAGGACGGACTCTGCAGAGCCACTGCTGGTCTCATCTGGAGGCCGCATCCCGACTCTGTCCCCACATGGCAGATGGGGAGCCCATGGGGTCCCTCAAGAAAGAACTCGTATCCTGTTGGATGAGGGCTGTGTCCTTAACTAGCCCAAGGCCCTGTGTCCAGGTGCAGCTAAGTGGGGGCCGCAGGAGGATCTGTGTTCGAGGCACCGCTCTGTCGCAGGGAGCCAGGCAGGCTGGGAGCTCAGGATCCTAGATGAGTTCGCATGGTTTGCCCAGGCGAGAAAACCAGCCACAACCCGCCTCGGGCTGCCAAGGCAAACTTGGACAGAGCCCAGGCCTCCCCTGCGTGGGAGGCCCAGCTCGGGGCTGTGACGGGCAGTAGCACAGCGGCTCAGGTCAGGAGAGGACAGGCAGAGCACTGGGGCCTCTGCACGCCGGGGCTCCTGCCGGACTCGGTCCCAGTCCTTCACACTGCGGACCACATCCTGGGGACAGGAGGTGCCTGGTGAGCACCTGGGGCTGCACCTACATGTGGCCTCAAGGACACGCAGCCAAAGGTGGGGCTTGCTTTTCCCTGGAGTGTTCTTTTTTTGAACCCAGAGGCGTCACAGAGCTATATCCCCGGCCCTTTTTAAAATTCTGAAACAAGGTCTTGCTGAGTTGCCCAGGTGGAACTTGAACTTTCTCCTGCCTCAGCCTACCTAAGTTGAGATTGCTGGATGTCCTGCCATTCTCAGCTCTGCTGGGTGTTCTTGGACAGTGTAACTGAGGCCTGTGCAGGTCCTGTGATGCCTCAGCATGTAAAGAATAACAGATTTGGAAACACGTGCTTTACTTGTGAATAGGATCAAAGGACAGGAAACTGCTTTCCCTCCATGGCTGGCTGAGAAGGTCTTTCCAGCACAGATCTGAAGTCCACAGCTAATTTCAGAGCTGAGGGGCTGCCCCTGAGACTTCAAAGGATAGGACCACCTGTTTGTTTTCTGTTTATTGTTTTTTGTTTTTTTGAGACAGGGCCTCACTATGTAGTCCAGGCTGGCCTCGAACTCTTGTCGATTCTCCTGCCTCAGCCTCCCAGGTGCTGGGATTACAAGTGTGTGCCACCGTGCCCAGCTAGGACCACCTGTTTTGGCCATGTTCCCCAAACCAGTTTCCTGCCCCATCCCCTTCCCACATATTTGGCAGTGCCAGAGCCGGGTAGGACATGGAGAGGGCACCCTGCCGCAGACCTGTGCTGGCACTGCCTCTGCGAAGCACCTGGGCTCTAGGGCCAGCACTGACACAGACCAGATTGCTGGTTTCCCAAGCCTGGGGCCCAAGCGGGGCCTTTTCCCTGCCCTGAGACACAGGCTGGTCTCTGGGGACGGGGCAGCTGGAGGGAGCCTCTGCTGAGTTGGGGGCTTTAGGGCTGGCCAGGGCCCAGAGGAAGAAGCCTCTTTTTGGGCCCAATCCTGAGCACCCTGGGCCCCTGTGGGCACCCTCCCAGGTCTGTCAGCCAGGAGCCCAAGGGCAGGAGCCAGGCCTTGGCTTGGGCACTTGGCTCTCTCCCCTCGGACCAGTTCCCATGGCTGTTTCTGTGAGACTCGCTGGGCCTGTGGACTCCCTGCTTGCCCCTGGTGCGGGGATGCTCTGCCCAGCTTCAGGGCTTTACGGCACTTGGGGCTCTCAGTGTCTGCTCACACACTGGCCTTAAAACAAGATGAGGTCTATGCACAGGGACAGGAGACCTGGGGTGAAGGGCTTAGGGGAGCTCACCAGGGCTGCCCAGCCTGGCATTGCTGCCCCCCTTGGCCAGAGCAAGAGAGGACACTTCCTGTGAAGGAGGAAGCTGTGCCCCAGGAGTCCCATTCGGTGGGGGCTGCTAGTGTGGAGCCTGGGTCCTCCCAGACCTGTGCTGCCGGCTTCCTTCCACCCGTCTGGTGTGTTTCCTGCCTACCTTCCCGGTCACGGGGCCTGGAGGGAAGTGCCCTTCCAGGTGGCATAGAACTGTGTGTACCCTGCCACTGAGTGGCTGTGGGATGGATGAACCCCTCGGTTTCTGGAGCGCTGTGGCAGCAGAATCAGAGGCCTCGGGTCAGCCTTGCCCAGCCCTGGGTGGTGGTGGCTTAAGGATAGGTGTGATTCAGACTGGCACTGCCACCTCCCTGGACTTGGTCGGGGGCTGCTGGGTGTTACGGGGCTTAGACTGCTAGATGTTGTACCTCCACCAGCACTTGCCTGGACCCCAGACATCGCCAGGCCTTGCCAAAGCCTATGCCCTGGTTGCAGGTGGCGTGGTTGGAACGGCTGCTCTGGAGCTTAAGTCCCAGCCCCACCTCCTCCTGGAAGGCACGCGGCCTGGGCTGGTGCAGAGCCAGACAGGAGCAGCTGCTTCGGGCAGCGACTGAGGGCGAGTTTGCTGCAGTGTCCAGGGGACAGGAATGGGGCCTGCCAGCCCTCAGAGCCGCCCAGCAGCTGGGGATGGGGCAGATAGTCAGGGCAGGTGAAGCCCCGGCTGCTATGAGTCCCCTCCCTGCTCCAGACCAGCAGCCTGGTGTCCACTCCATGGCATCTGTGGAGAGGAGGGACAGCCGGCATCTGGTCTGGTGCCCAGGGACATGGTGGCCTCCCATGCAGAGCTGGCATCCAGCAGTCTGAGAGCGCTACATGCAGGGCTCTGAGCAGTGGGGCTGGTGCCAGGGGGTCCTCAGACACCTGCCTGAACCCCACACCTTCATCTCCTCCCCTGGACAGGGGTAAGGCCATCACGGGCCCCAAGACCCTCGGCAGAGCCCTGCATTCTCCGTCCTAACCCCACCGCCCACGAGAGGCTGTGTGGTCTCAGGCTGCCTCTCTGCACCTGGACATCACCTTTCCACAAGGAATCAGGGTGCTTAGCAGGGAAGGAGCCATGCCTGGGTGTGGTCAGGTGCAGCATTCCATCCTGGGCGAGAGCAGCTGGAGGCCCCGTGTCAGTCAGGGGCTACTCCTCCTCACAAGGCTGAGGTCAGGCTGTGGTCCTGGGTGCCGTGAACAGGGTGTGTGGCCACCCTCCTGTCTCCGAGTGCCCCATACAGAACCTTTGTCCTGTACGGGCTGGCAAAGCCTCAGGCCTAGGCAGGGGCAACCTTGCCTCGGTGTTCCCCCATGTCGACAGTTGCTGCCCAGCAGGCTGGGTGGGCCAGGCCCCAGGACACAGCAGGGCGTTGCAGGTGCATGGAGCTGTGTAGGACATGCTCTGGAGCTGGGGCAGGGAGCCTGGCCTGCCTGCCCGCCACCATGACCAAGCCCAGGCAGGTGGGGGGGCGGTCAGCTGGCTTGGCGGGTAAGCCTGGTTTGCCCCAGTGCAAAGCCCTCATCCAGAGCTCTCTTAGGCATTTTGTTGCAGGGACATTCTTGAACTTCCAGCATGCCTTTTTCTCTGTCCTTTGCCAGGTGACGTGTCCAACCTAGACCCCAAGTCTTCCTTTGAAGGCACCAACCTGGATGTGGGGAACATCGTGCTGGCATTGTACAGCGGCCTCTTCGCCTATGGAGGATGGTGGGTCCTGGAACATCTGGGGCCCCGACCTGTCCAGAAATCCCAGCTCACTGGACCGTGCTGGGGAGTGGGAGGAGGAGAGCACAAGGCCTCAGAGGAGGCCGCTTGGTGCATGACCTGCAGGTCAGCCCAGACCAGGTCCTGCTGGCCAGTGGCCCTCAGGATGGCTGCACAGGGACAGAAGTGCCACAGGGTGGGCAGGTGGGGAAGAGGCGGTCATGCAGGATGCCAGAGGAGACAGGCGTGGGAGCTGTGCTGCCCTGCAGCCACCTCTGCCTGTCCCTGTGGCCTCCCAACCCTGGGGGTTTGAAGCCTGCTGTGACCTTCAGTAAGCAGTGGGGTCGTGCTTGTGCCAGGCGCAGGGTGGCTGTGTCCCCGCATCCATCTCAGGGACAGTGCAGCCTTGCGGGAACAGTGGGGCACTGCCCCCTTTCCTGACGCTTGAGGGAGTAGCGTATAACAAAGCCGTGGTCTTCGTTCTAGGAATTACCTGAATTTTGTCACGGAGGAGATGATCAATCCCTATAGGTAAGTGCAGCGTGGTGCCGCCCTTCCTTCCCCTCCTGAATGAGGGAGGCGAGGAGAGCATGCCACCCACGTGCCGCTGCTGGGCGTGGCCTGCAGTCGGGGATCTGGGCAAGATTGTGGGGTGGACACATGCGCCTGGGTGGGACAGTGTGTGTGTGGGTGGTGGTACCAGGGTCCCCACACGGGGTGGGAGTCTGGAGGGGCCCAGCTGAGGCTCCAGACCTTGTGGCCAGCACTGCCCACCCTCACGTCACCACACTGGACTTGCCTTGCTGCCCCCCACTCAGGCACCGCCCACCTCTGGGCATGAGCACCTCCTGCGCCCAAGACTCAGGGTTCAGACATGGGGCACGGTGGGCTGGGCCTGGGTCCCCCCCGTGCTGATGCCTGCCCCCCACGGTGCCCAGAAACCTGCCGCTGGCCATCATCATCTCGCTGCCCATCGTCACCCTGGTGTACGTGCTGACCAACCTGGCCTACTTCAGCACGCTGTCCCCCGAGAAGATGCTGTCATCCGAGGCTGTGGCCGTGGTAAGGCCCCGGGTCCGAGCCTCGCTGCTGCCCGAGGGCCGGGGTCCTTGTCCTCAGTCTCCTGAAGGTGACCACAGCCAGCAGGAAGTTCAGGGCACCCTTGCCTGACTGCCATCGCAGTCTTGCCTGGGCAGCACCAATGGTATCAGCACACCTGGGGTCCAGAGCTCAGGAGGGCGGCTTCGTGTGGGGCAGCAGTGGGGCAGCTGCGGGGCTGAGAGTCCTGCAGCCGAGGCTCTGTGCAGGCCCCACTTTGGACCAGCGGCCAAGTTGCCTTTAGCAGTGGATTCAGTGTTCACTGCCCGACAAGACCAGGACAGAGGGCAGAGCCCCAGCCGACAGCCCTCCGCTCTCAGGAGCTGGAGGACCCCAAGTGCAGTGAAGGTGACCGAGGAGCCTGCTCCAGGGTCTCCAAGTCCCTCAGAGTGGTTGGACCCAGGGCCAGGTCACAGGCGGAGCCTCTGGATGGGCTGCGGGGCTGTTGCCGCCTGCTGGCCAGGCTCACCCAGCTCTGTCCCCAGGACTTCGGCAACCACCACCTGGGAGTCATGTCCTGGATCATCCCAGTCTTCGTGGGCTTGTCCTGCTTTGGCTCAGTCAATGGGTCCCTGTTCACGTCCTCGAGGTGAGCTCCCTGGGTCCCGCAGACCTGAGGGTGGGTCTCCTCCCCGCAGGGTGGCGGGCTGGGCTGACTGCTGCCGCTGTGTCCACAGGCTGTTCTTCGTGGGGTCCCGAGAGGGCCACCTGCCCTCGGTCCTCTCCATGATCCACCCAGCCCTCCTGACACCCGTGCCGTCCCTCGTGTTCACGGTGAGCCTCCCGAGGGCCGGAGCACATGCGTAGCTCTTGCACACTTAGGTGTGGTCGCGCTGCCTGTGTGGTCGACCGTGTGTCCTGCACTGCAGGAGCGGATGTGGGCTGTGCAGGCTCAGGGACACCAGAGGCTGGAGCCTGAGTCTATGCCCTTGCACGACCTGCGGGGCCATGGGGACAGTTCAGACACCCGAGGGGGACCCAGCCTGGGCCCGGAGACTGCACTGGCGATGGCTGAGGGCGCTGCCTCAGGGCCACCTGGGGTCCTGAGTGGGCAGCATGTGGCCCCTCTGAGGACTTCTCGCTCTGTACTGGAGGCCCCAGTGCAGCCCACCCTGCCCACTTCCAGAGTGCTGCGCCTCCTCCTTGCCCCAAGGCCTTCACCCCCCGACTCCCTCCTCTGCCTTCCTAGACCTCGCACGCTGCCAGTTGGTTTCCTTTTTGAGACCATTTCTGATGTCCAGGTGCCCACTGTCCCCTACCAAGGGCTCACCCACCCATCTCTGCTTCCAGTGCATCATGACCCTGCTCTACGCCTTCTCCAACGACATCTTCTCCGTCATCAACTTCTTCAGCTTCTTCAACTGGCTTTGTGTGGCGCTGGCCATCATCGGCATGATCTGGCTTCGCTTCAAGAAGCCCGAGCTGGAGCGGCCCATCAAGGTCCACCCGGCCTGGGTCCTGGGGTGCGGCAGGCGGGCCGGAGCATCCTGGGGCCTGGGGCACGATGGCCTCTTGGTCCTGTGCCTGCCGGGCCACTTCTCCCCTCAGCAGACCTGGGTCATGAAGCCTTCCTCTGGCGAGGACAGGGCGAGACGGTGCGGGAAGGCGCATTAGACAGTGGGGCCCATTAGTCCTGCCCCATCCCGACAGCTCAGGTGCGCCAGGCGTGGCTGGCCAGTTCCCTTGGGCACAAGGCCTGCTCTCTGTCCTCTTCCCCGGGACAGGACAGCCTAGGCCGAGGGCAAGAGCAGGAGACTTGATGTCCCAGGGCCCCCTCCCTGCCTTCTGAGCATGGGCCAGGGCTGGGTGTCAAGCTTTCAGGATGCTGTCAGCATGAGGTCCGAGGAGCGCCCAGGAGGCCTGACACATCTGGCAGTGCCCCACCCTTCATGGGGACAGCTTGCGCCTGCTGCTTCCAGCCGGCGGCTAGGGCTTGGAAGCAGATACCAGCAGGAGGTCCCCTGACACACAGCCACACTGCCCGCAGCAAGGGCACCCATGGGCACTTTTCTCCCAGGTGGACTCGGGCCAGGCTGGGGCAGCACCCAGTCCCACAGGCCCCAAGCCCATCCACGCCCATCAGCCCCTGTGCTGAGTAGGGGAAGCCGTGTGGGGCATGGTCTCGCCTTCCGCTGGTCACAGACGCTCCCCTGGGGGCACTGGGGGACAGGCTGGGTAACCTGTGGGGCTGACTGGTCGACACCTTGCACAGGTGAGCCTGGCCCTGCCCGTGTTCTTCACCCTGGCCTGCCTGTTCCTCATCGCTGTGTCCTTCTGGAAGACGCCCGTGGAGTGCGCCATCGGCTTCACCATCATCCTCAGCGGGCTGCCCGTCTACTTCTTCGGGGTCTGGTGGAAGAACAAGCCCAAGTGGCTCCTGCAGGCCATCTGTGAGTGTCCGGGACCTGACCCCGGGGGCGGCTTCCTGGTTGGGTTGTAGTGCCGAGGATGGCCTGGAGCAGCTGCTGATCAGGGGCGGAAGAGAGCTGCGGCTACCGTCTTGCGGCCCAGGGCTGATCGGCTTCTCCGTGACGGCACTGGGACACTTAAGGTCTAGGATGGCCCGCCCTGCGGCCCCTTGGTGGGAGCAGAGGCTGCCCACCCCAGAGCAGGATGTGCACCCAGCCAGAGCCCAAGGCAGGCACTGCTCCTCCCGCGCCAGACCCTCCCACAAGCTGCTTTGTGGGAGCATCCGGTGTGACGGGCCTGGGACAGCATCTGCAGGACTCTGCCGCCTCTTAGGGTGGTACAGGGTTTGCTCCCACGGGGAGGGCTGTCACCTGGAACCTGAGGCCCTGAGAGTGTGTGGGTCCTGCCCCCTCAGGGTTCTGGGTTGGGGCCTGGCGTCCACAGCAAGGCCAGAGGCTTTCTGTAAAACTGAGGTGTCTCCCTTCTTGCCCTGCTCCAGCGGTGTGACCGGGCTGCAGTGGCCTGGCTTCCCAAGGAGGAGGCAGGGGCGCAGCTCCCCAGCTCGCGCCCCCAGCCCACGCTCACTGCAGCCTTCTCCCACAGACTCCACGACCGTCCTGTGCCAGAAGCTCCTGCATGTGGTCCCGCAGGAGACCTAGCCCACATGCCCGAAGCCACCGGGAGCAGGGCGCAGCGCCATCTTGCCAGACCACTGAAAAGCAGCTTCCGTACCCATCCTCCCCACAGCTGCGCCGCGACATGCACTGCCAGGCGCCCAATCCCCTCCTTGCCCCCGCATGGGTTGGGCACCTACGGCGATTGTGAAAACTCCGGTACGAATTTAGACCTGGAAGGTGAACCTCTGCCTTGGCTCCCTGGGCACAAGGGACTTCCTGTCACCTCAGCCCTGCTCCCTTCCCTTGTTTTCAGATTTGTTTTTATTTTAACTTAAATTTGGAGTCATGTTGACACCACTGAGATGATTATTGTTTAAAGAAGCGGGGCAGAGAGGCGAGGAGGTGGTGTTTTCTCACCTAACTCTGTCTGCGGCACAGCTGCCTCACAGGGACCAGATTGCTTCACAGGGTGCGTGCAACTACTGAACTCATCACCGCCATGACCACGGACTGCTCTGACAGACACAGCCAGACAGCCAGACAGCCCCAGTCCCACTGTGTGACAGAGAGCACCCTTCCTCCTGTGTCGTCACAGCTGTAGGGTGAGACTGAGAAGGGCCCCCAGACACCAGGTCCCCTCTGCTGTAAACCCGGGGTCGGGGTCGCAGTCAGCTGGCGAGCCCCCCAGAGCTCTCCACGGTGCACACTGCCTCAGTTCCCAGGGTGGCCCCTTCCGGCCCAGCCAGGGGAGCACTGAGCCAGAGACTTTGAGACACTCCTACCCTACGCAGCACTCTGTCTGGGGCTCTGCCTTGGGCCCCCGAGAGGAAGGTGGCGGCACCCCTGCAGGGACCATGCTGTGCCTGGGGCCCTTAGGAGGTGGACGGGGCGTGGACAGGTCCCACTGCCTCCTCCAGCAGGGCTCCCGAGACCCGGGGCCAGCCTGGGTCCGTGGTGCTGGCCCATCCCGCCTGCCTTCCACACAGGGAGACCCCAGGCTCCGTGCAGGGACCCAGCCGACCCTGAGGCCCCTCTGCTACCACACTCGGCCCACTTGGCCTGGGTTCTGGTCCATGGGGTTGTCCTGTTTCAGAACGTCCCGTTCAGCCCATTGCTTTTTATCTTGTCCTAACGTCTTACTAACGGACAGGTCCTGTGGTGTCGCATTTATTTATTCCCGTGGTCAGCACTCAGCCTCGTTGACTTCACGGTGGGCTCAGCAGCCACCCTGCGCTGTCCCTGTGACATCCACCGTGTGAGGCATGTGGCTGGGTGTCTTTATTCTTGTGTTCATGGCTAACCTGTTACCCTAGGCTTGTTAGGGTGGGTAGTGCTGTTGTATTGTGGGGTTTTAGTGTTTTGTTTTGTTTTATTTTTTAATAAAAAGCATTTGGAATTCTGAGGCTGCCAGCTGGTCTCTGCTTCCGCGCTGATCTGTGTGAGAATGTTCTGGGGTCCTCAGGGCCCTGCAAGGTCTCGAACTGGGTTAATCCTTCACCCATACCCCCAAGGTCCTACTGCAGGGGCTGGAGAGGACCGCCGGGCCTGTTGGCTGGAGCAGTCTTCGGCACTGGCTTCCTAAGCGGAGGAGACAATCGCAAGTCACTGGGCTGGGAAAAGATAAAAGTTGGAGGCTGAGGCTGAGGCAGGAGGGGCCTGGCCTGGCCTAGCCTGGCCTGGTAGAGGGCCGGGGGCATAACAGCAGGGCAGTGTCTAGGTCGGGGTGGGACAGGGGACAGCAAGAGATGAGGGATGGTGGTACCTACCAGTAATCCTAGCACTTGGGAGGCTTGAGGCAGAAAGATCACTGGGAATTGAAGGCCAGCCTCAGCTACATAGCGAGACCCTAAACAAACGAGGGACACTCATGTCCTTATTTCCACATTTCCTTTGAGTGCCTGCATGGCTGGACCCAACTTCAAGGCTGGGGACTCACCTAGTAGTCGCTGTGTTGGGGAGGGACCCAGCCAGGACAGCGTCACGAAGGAAGTCAGCCCTGCTTGGTCCTGTGCTCCAGTGCCCCCTGCTGGTTGCAAATGGTTGAGCAGCTGTGTGGACTGAGCAGAGCAGGGCTCCAGTGTGGGAGGGACCTGGGGCTGCTTCTCCCAAAAGGGTGGGTGGGAGGGGCACTCGGGCCCTTAGGGTGCCCTGGGCATTGCGGCCCAGAGGGCCCTGCAAAGCTTTCCTCATCCTGCTGAGACAGCTGTTCCCTGTCCCTTTGTCCCCACCAGAGGGCTTCTGAGGATTTTAATGCCCTTCCTCCCAGCTGGGAAGGGCAGGCCCAAACCTTACAAGGCAAGGAAGTAACCCCACAGGCATGCAGCACTACTCCCTGTTATTAGGGATAATTGGAGGCTGGAGGAGGAGGAGGAGGAGGAGGCCAGTGTTAGGGCCCCAGGGCTGGGACCTTCCCGCTCTGTGAGCCAGAACACAGCTGCTGCCCCCGGGCAGTACCAGGTCAGCCTGTTACCTGGCCCCCAGCCCCAGTACTGTTCAGGGGCCACACCTGTGTCCCTGCCTGCTGAGCACTCTGCCTGGCCTGCCAGGACAGGGGTACCTGCTGCCAACCCAAGGGCAGGAGGTACCCTGGGAGCTCCCTACCCTGTGCTCCTGGGAAAGGCCAGGAAGAGACTCCTGGCTTCCCAGAAGCCCCCTCTGCAGAAGGTTGATTGCAGGGCATGGACACCGGGGTCCACCCAGGCAAGGCGGTACTGACCCAACAGGCTCTGTCCCTGCCTTGGCCCAACTCTCTCCCCTGCTGGGCCACACGAGCCTCAAACACAGTCACTGCTGGCCCCGGTGCCCTGTGGTACTCAGGAAGTCTGAGCACTCTGGTGACATCCCGCTGTCCCTGCCCTACCTGCATGCTGTCTGGCAGGACTGGATGTGGGGACTTGGCTGCTCTCAGCACTGTCACCACCGGCAGCCCTGCGGCCAGCCCCCTCCCCACTCCCCACAGGACACAGGACAGTGCCCCAGTGCAGAGTCAGCGGCCACCAGCTGCTCACTCAGAGCCCACAGAGTAGGGGTGCTGGCTTTGTCTCTTCCAAGATATTAACTAGCACATGGCAGGGAGGGGAGCTGGGGCTTCCAGGGAAGATGGGGGCCGGGAGCAGGAAACAAGTGCAGAGGCCTAGGTGGAACCAGGGTGCAGCCTGGCCAGGGCAAGAGACAGGCAGGAGCCAGGCAGGGGGCTTGTCATCTCCTGCAGGGCATGGGAGCTGTTTTAACAGGTGTCAGACAGGAGATTGTGAAATGAAAAACCAGGATTTATGCAGGAGAAACTTCAAAAGCATTCCTGGTGGGAGGACTGTTGCAATGAGGGGCAGAGGGTTAAGAAAAGTTCTCCTCCAGGGGTGAGGGAGCTTGGCCAGGAAGGGAAAAAGCATTGTGCGGTCATCCAGCTGCCAGGCAACATGGGTCCTTGCCTCAGGGATGATGGAAATTAAAACCGAAGCAGGAAGGTTGCAGGAAAAAGCTTTGATTGAAGGTGAGAGAAGCTAAAGGGGTGCAGCGTTCTTGAAGATCCAGCTGGTCCCCCAAACAGAAGGGAGAGCAGGGGTGGCAGCACGAGGGGCCACACTGAGGTCTCCTAGGTGGGAGACCAGCGTGAGGGCCAGGGTGTAGTCACAGAGGCCTCAGGTAGACCCTGGCAACTTGAGGGCCACGCAGTGCAGGGCAGGGTCAGTCCAAGGAACCAGAAGTCTCGGGCAGTGGGGACTTAGGGCATAGCTAAGTGTCCCGTAAATGGCTTGTTCTGCCATATTCAGTCTGGAAAGGGATAAAGGGGCTAAATTTAGGACTGTTAAACCTTCCTTTGCTAACCTTTAGACAGGCACTCCCTAGATGACTAACCTGGCTCTCTGAAGAGCTGAGAAGGGTTCGACCCAGAGTTTCATGAAATAAAGGTCAGGATTTGTTCTACTTTTTTCTGCTTTTGGTTTGAAGAGTTTGAGATGGGGTCTCACTCCATATCCCAGGCTGGCCTTGAACTTGGTGATCCTTCTCCCTCAGCCTGCCTAGGGCTGGATCACAGGCGTGTGTCACCACACCCAGATCGTTCTACTGTTATTTATTAGCATTTGTAGGCCCCAGTGAAGAGGCACCATGTTTTAGCAAAAACCCTTTCAAGTCTGTGACAACTTCAGAACACAAATCATGTTTTCACTGAGTAACAGGTTAGGGCCTGGTGGTTAGTCTGTGTTTGTGTTGCTATGCTGGCCTCCATATGGCCACCGTGCCGATTGGGCTGATGAGGCCAGAGACAGGGATTCCATCAGCTGGGAAGACCCAGGAAACTGCTCCCAGGTGCTGCCGCTGGGGCCTCGATCTGGAGGGAGTGGGGTTGAAGCCCATTGCAGGCCTGCTCCCAGGAGAGGGGTGTGGGGCAAGGGACTGCTGCTGCTGAGACCCTCAGGCATCAGGTGACTCCCACAGGGGAAGGGTCGTCTTCCGGAACCCATCTCTCCTGGCCCGAGCCCTCAGCAGCCAGGACCGGCTGGCTCTGGGGCTGGGGGACAGGAAGCTCACGGCAGCTCCTTAGACCTGGGAGACCCCGCTCTGCCATGAGCACCGAGGAGAGGACCCACCCCGGCCCCTGGGGCAGAAGAGGGCACCAGTGGGCAGCCCAGAGCCTCTGTCCCAGGCATGCAGATGGGAAATTGGCAGCATGGGCGAGAGCCCTCACCGGGCGCCCTGTGGGAATGTGGGACTCCCTCTGGGGCAGTGTAGGCCCACAGGTGGGCTCTTGGCCCGAATGCAGGAGCCTTGGGCTGGCAGAGGAAGGGAACTGAACCTGTGTGACCAGATGGGGGTGAATGGTGTCCCACCACTGGGAGAGGAGAGAACGGAGCCACTGAGGTCCACTGCTTCCCGGGGGACCTGAGCTGTCACTGGTGCATGGTGTGCAGAGCAGCCCTGCCTCTGCCTGGAGCCCCGCACCGAGGACACCAGGCCTGCGCCCAGTGCAGCCCAGCCACATCCTCTGCCCAGGGGCTTGGAAGGTATCTAAGCGCCCCCACCAGGATGTCCGGGCTCCTGTGCCCTCCAGGCCACAGTGACAGGCCAGGCAGGCACCCTGTGCTCTGGGGGGTCCATTCCAGCACAAGCCCGCTCTTCTGCATAGCTGAGGCTGACTCAGTGCTACAGGCAGAGACACGGCCAGGATTAACGGGATTAACGTGGCTGCTTAGGCACACGGAGACCAGAGAGCAGGCAACTCGCCTCTGCCTGTCCCCAGAGATCAAACCCTCTCCGACCACAGAGGGTGACAGAGGCTGCACTGTTCCCTCTCCCTCAGGGACCACTGCGGCGGGTGGAGGGTGGCAGGTGGCCTGGGCCTCACCCCGAGGGCGGCCCTTGCCCTGCCGGTCACTTCACTCCGAGACCGCACTGTCCTGGGCGGGAGGCTCCTCAGAGGGTCTCGTCATCCCCGGCAGCTCCAGGCTCGAGGCTGGGAAGGTGCGGGCAAGGCCAGAACGTGCCTCTGCCTCCCACGGGGAGCCTGCTCCCTCCCTGCTTGGCCCCCACCAGAGCTAGGGCCGCCCAGGGCCTTCGCCTGAGCTGCACCCAGCCCTTCGTCCTTTACTTGGAGGTAGGGCCACCTCAGTCACCAGATTGCCCAGGCTGGGCTCACACTGGAGCCTCCTCCACGGCGTGGGTGCGGTGCTGCCGGTGGGGGAGCCCCAGTGGGCAGCACTCGGGGCGACGCCCATGCTGTGGAGAAGGCGGGAGCGGGTCCTGGCCAGGGACACC